TACCTTTATACCTACAGTTAAATATTAGCCTGAAAGGTGAAGCCCCTCATTGCAACATCAGATGGCATTTGTCCTCAAACAGTAATGGGTATATAAAAACAAAATGACAAAAAAAAAAAAAAAAAAAAAAAAAAAAAAAATCCCACTAAAAACACACACCAAAGATTTCAGGAATGTTGTGTCTAAAACAAGAACTGCCTCCAATTTCAAAGGCTTACAACTATGAAGAAAAACACAGATTACCCAGTTGAGAGGATATTCAAATATTCCAGCCCAGTCTTGCACTTCTTATTCTTTCTTGTTGGATGCAAGATAATGTCAGGGAACGTCTGAACACAGAGGAAGACAAAAGCAGTATTTTAAAGACACCAAGAGCAGTTAGTTAATCAATGGAAATTGGGTGCCTAAGGGGTACTGTGCCTCTGTAAATAGATTCCACAATCTCTGCAATTAATGGTTGACATATACAGAGTCATAAAAACTAATGATGGAAAAAGACCAAAGCAAAAAAATGACAATAATTAAACTGAGGCTGCTAACTATGCTAAATATGAGAGCATATTTAACCTATTAAAATGAACAATCTTTTTTCAGGACTTAGTAGCCTCCATTACATTTATAAAAAATGATTAAAATGGAGTACTCATGAAAATTAGACCACTTTTTTGAATATTAAAACCAAACTTGGGAGATTGTATTTCAAAAAAAAAAACTTTGGGTTTGTTAGACTAACAACTTATTGCTAACTGTAAACTCCTTAGTGCCTTTCAGTCTATTTTGTGGTGGACTTTAAAAGGTACTAGTGACATACTTTGTGCTAATACAGTTACAAAACTGCAGCATCATTTAGTTCTTGCGGAATTCTTGGCCATTATGGTGAAATTTCCTGGAGTATTTGAAAATGCTGAAATGGAGAAGGCAATTCTTGCTAAAACACTTCATTGCAGACTTCAGTGTACCCTGTGTTTAACTGGGATGTGAAACCCTGGAGAGAGGCAGAGGCTCACATCTGCTTCCTAGACAGCATCCACAGAATATCTCCAAGAAAACAGTGTCAAAATTAATGCTCTTTTTTAATTTGAACTTGGTTTAGAACAATGTGTTTCTGCAGTTACACATGCTAAGAAAATGTACAATATCAATTCTTCATCAATAAATCTGATTATTTCACAGTTTCTTTTTGTAATCAGAGTAGCAATTTTTTAACAGCAAAATAAAGAGAATGGCAATTTTAATTTTCCATTATGAGAAAGACTATTCTTATTCTTAGTTGTGCCCATGGCCTGAATACATTTTATTAAACAAGCTGTTACTGGTTAACTTGTTCATGGCTACAGTCATAATTATGCCAAAGCTCGGAGAAAGCAGCAAAGCCCAACTGAGCAGCTGGGAATTCCTGGGAAGTTAAGCTGCACTGAGCTCTGCCCTGCTGTGCCTGTGATTTATAGCAGAATCCCTGTTACCAGGTTCAAGATCATCTCTCTGCACCGCAGTGCCATACAGATATAGGCCAAATTGAGTTCAGTGTAATTGAGGAAGGGGTCAAGGAGCAAAGTGCTTGGGATAAAAAGAAGGAAGATGACAGTAAAGAAACTTTAAATAAACCCTTTGAGCTAACAGATAAGGGAAGTATAAAAAAATACATATTTTGATAAGCAAAAGTTTGCTAGGACATGGCAATTGGTAAAATTTATTTTACTAGAAAAGGAAGAGCCTGATGTGACAAAATTTGAGGGACGCCATGGCAGGTTTCATTACAGCTGCCTTGGACTTGCCATCTGTTGCATCACATGGAATCACCAGTATGTTCCATGGAAGAGGACCAGGATGTTTTGTGTCCTAGAAAAATTAGCTAAGTAAATGCCTCCTAACAGTTCTTCCTTTACTCACTGTTGTCACTGTACAAATGCATTGCAACCATTACTGAAGTCTCTGGACATTCTTTTCTTTCAAGACATTTACATTTAATAAACTGAGAATATGGTCAAATTAGCCCAGCTAAAGGCAGCAGACTGCTCCTTGCTTCCACAGTTGAAGAGTATGCAAAAAGTCACTTAAGGAGATGGTGCACAGCATCTTGAAAAATGAGAGTAGGTACATGAAAAATTAACCCATGCACAATTATAGACTGCTTTTAGAAGCCTGTGTGGTATGGCAGAGGCTGCACTGTGTCCATAACGAGATGAACTGCTATAGAGAACAAGTGTTTTTACTTTTTTGTTAATTTCTGCAAAATCCATTCTTCCCTACTGCACCTCTTCTATCAGGACAAGATTTACTAGAGGTGTTATTTCAAATTTTCTTTATTTCTTTTCTTTTTCCCTTGTTCTTTTTATCATTTTCTCGGTCTTCCTCAAGTTTTTTGTTCTTCCTGTCTTTTTAGTTTCCTCAGTGCCATGAATGCAAGTGGTTTTCTAAAGAGAAGTTGGTATTTCCTAAATTGCAAATAGAGCTAGAGCTCATTCAGATAACTGTGACTGGCAGTTAATTAGACATCAAATTAGATATTCACAGTAGGCCACAGAATATTCTGAACTATTAAAGGAACTTCAAATAAGAATGACCCTTCAGATGACCCTCTTCCTCATGGTGAACAGAATAGCTGCAGCTTAAACAATTCAAGCAGATGCACTTAAGCCTGTTGACTCATCTGAATAGTGGTGATTTGAATTTGTAGCATTTTGTGTGAATAAGGGAATTGAAGGTGTATCAACAACCCAATGGATGCCCTTACCAGACTGCTACGAATAGAAAAAGAAATAAAGCAAAGCAAGGAATTCCACTCCCCCGCTTTTTTTTTTTTTTTTAATGAAATCTATTCCACTTTAACCTGGGAAGGTATTTTGCTATGTTTTGTTGTGATGCATGAGTATTTAATTTTTAATCAATTGAATCTTCCTAGGTTTGTACAGGAAGACTCTACACCAGATGATCTGACAGCAAGGCACCTGATGTTTCACTGCTTTGAACAAACCTACTTCTTTCCAATGAATATAAAGGGAGCCTAGACAGCTGGTTCAGATTTTAATGCTGTACATTAAATATTCATAACACAAACTCTCCTGAATTCTAAAGTATAAAGAGATTTCATAGAGACTCATAAGATATTCACTTTCTCATTTTGTCTAAGAATATTCACTATATGTCCCTTAGGGGTGTTAGTTCTTGCTGAAATTAAACCAGATTATAAATGTCTTAATTACCTAGAAATTATTTTATTGGTTTGTGTTATTTTTTTGTATCTAGCCTACTCTAAATTTAATGAGTCACTTAAACTTGATGCCTCAGGGTTATGTGATTGCAGTTTAGTGATCTGAGCTGAATTTCACCCTTTCAATTTTCTTAAATGACATAAAGATTTATTAGTCCTCCACCTCCTTGTAAGAGAAGCTAAGGAACAAGAGATTAAGTTATTGCTCCACGGATATCTAAGTTGTTTTCTGTCTGCTTATGTTTATGTCATAATTCCCAGTTCTTTCCAAACTGAATATTTTCTGCTGAAGAGACTGAATAAAACACAAAAAATAAACTGTCTTTTAAAATCTGAAATGGGATCATTTTATCTGTGCCTTAAGGAAAGCAGTGTAAGGGAAACTGCGCTGATTATATGAAGGACAGTGATCTTACTGCAAACAATTATTTAGCTCATGTGTAATGTTTCCACTTCTTAATTATAGAAGAGAGGACGTCAGCTCTTGCTCATGTTTGATGAGCACTACACCAAACCCAGCGTCACTAGATGATGTGAATTTAAAGAGAAAGTCTTGTGTCATGTGTGTATGACATAAGCCTGCTTAGGGTTGTACAAACTGGTAAAAATAGTTTAAATTGAAAACTTAGGCAGTACAAATATTTTATATATATTTTTTTTAAATTGGGAACCTCTTTCCCCGCTTCTACACTGATGTGTCTCTCTGAAATGCTTGAAATACGGGGGTGAGATTTTGTCCTAGGCTTGCAAATGCTTTCGGTATATGATATGGCATTGGAAATGATTAGACAAATGGTGATGACTTCACAGGCTTATCAGACTTCTGCTAGAAGGTTGTTATCACAACCTCCGGTTAGGGTCACCAGCCCTCTGAAGGTAGGATTTAAAAAAAAAAAAAAAAAAAAAAAAGAGCCTCGGGGGTAAGAAAAAAATAAATAAAAATTACATAAATAGATTTCTTTCTTTCTTGGTGAAGATATGAAAGACCTTTTCTATGGCCCTTATAGGCAGAAATAATAATTTCAAGACTCCTCTTTGGTAAAAGTCACTAAAAATAAGAAGAAAACTAAACAAAACATAAGACAGTCGTCATCTTCGGGTTCAGCAAATTAGTGCAGGTTTTCCTCTGCAGTATAGAGAGAACAGAAACTACTGCACTTATGCACACTCAGAGTGCATACAGAAAGGATGTCTCAGCAATCTCACTGATCAAATCTATGATTTTATTGTTTGCAGATAATTGGATACTCATCTCTAACCGAAAAGTATATGTTAAGTTGTAGATATAGCTAAAAAACAGAAAGCTAATTAATATCTTACATTCTTCCCTGTCTTTAAATCATGGTTTCAAAAAAAATCCTGACATTTTCGTCTGCACTCTGCTAACTCCATTTGTTCTTTTTCACTCTCTGCTGCAAAAAGCTGGAATAAGAATTGTACCACAGGAATCCAGCTTTCACCTACTTAAATATTAAAAAACAGTTCATAATCACCATAAAAGCCTGTACCATTACATATATAGCACCACTCTGCTACTTTTTCTTTATTAATTATTTCCTTTTGAGTAGTAATCAATGAACCAGATGTCTGAATGTGAGAAATTTTAGCTGTGGCATCTGGACCCTTCAGAGCTTCCAAAAGTAAGTCTGCTATTGGCATCTAAACTAAATCACACTCCGTCTAAGTATTTATACTGCCTTTGGCTTGCCGTGTTATTGTGCATTTATTAATAAGCTGGTGTGCTTAAATTTTGACTTAGGAATACTCCATGCACTTTGGAAGAAATCCTGTCCCCACTGAAGTCCATGGGAGTTTTGCCATCAACTGCAAGAGCGCCAGGATTTCACCCTTTTCAAGTTGTTGTTCATTGATGGGGAAGTCAATTTGCCTTAGGCAAACTACTCAACAGTCGCTGTGGTCCTTCACGATGGATTCATTAGAAAGACCTGCTAAGGGAAGACGTTAAACTTCATATATATATATGTATATAATATATATGTATATTTTATACATTTTAAAATACATATATTTATATATCTATATACATGTATAAATATGTATGTATTTCCAGCATACTCAGATCTCTGGACTGACTGGTACTGGCACAAAATAATCTCAGACTGAGATTCTCAAGTTGCTTACAGAATAATTAACAGCAGGTAAAAGTTATTTGAAACATAAAGATTTTGCCCCAAAGTTCATAGCTCCTTTGCTAAAAGCAGTTATACCCCACATTGCCATGGACTCTCCCAGTGGCATGTTTCTGCTTCTGCTTCCTCCAACTGAATGTGGAAGCCACATATATTTATAATTAAAAAATACACTATAAAGAAACCACTGAACTCAGATTGCTTAGACTGAGATTCATCATGTATCTTATGAGCTCTTAAAATTCGTTTTAAGAGGGGACAGAAAACTTTTACCAAGAAAACCTCTACAGAACCAGGAAGAATAGAAACCAATGTATTTAGAGAATTAAACTCTTTTCATTAGTTTTAGGCAATTATTTTCCATTTTAAAAATAAATTTAAAAATGCTGGGAAGATCTTTGTGTACTTTTCAGTGTCCCGGTCACTCTGCCAAAGAAATCCAGGGCAAATTTATTTTAGTTAAACATTTATTTGGTGGTCACTGTTTCTACAATGAATATTTTGCTACTCTCATCATTAACCATTTGTTTCCCTGAATGCAAACGACTGTCATGCTGCTTATCCATGAGCAGGAGTAAGGAAGTTTTTTTTAATAAAGACAACTGCAACACTAGTTTTCATGACTCAAAATCTAGGATTCATCAACTCTATGTAATTTTGTGCTCCTGCTGTTCTAAAGTGAATTATGAAACATATCAAATCCCATTACCCCAAAGAAGAGAAATAATGGTATTTAAGTAAGGGGCTATGTTTTTTCTCATGGTTGATTGACTATCCACTAGGGACAGAAGGCAGGTTTAGACACACAGCCACATTAATGGGGTAATTCTCCATACGCTCAATCCTACCTTGCAGTAATTAAAAAAAGTAGTCAGTCAGTAGTAGTCAGGTTAAGTTCATAGTTGCTCAGGGTTAACAGTACATATGCCAACAGCTCGATCAGTCTACCTGAAATGAAGTAATTTCTGAAGCGAGTATCATTTTTTGTACATCTGAGCAGAAAGTATCCCAATGTAATCTTTCCTTTTTTTAATATTTTAGCTCACTATGGAATTCTCCCAACTTCCAAATGGATCAACATTTTGTTTACAATCCTTCTGATGTCCCTGCATTTTACTTCTGCTGCTTCTCTCAAAGCTGTGTAGTTCTAATCTTTACAGACTATCAGCATAGCCAAAAAACAGGTAAATTTTAGCTATTTTAGCGCTCTTTTTTAAGGTAAAGTTGCTATAGAAACACATCACCCCCAACAGCTCAGATATTTCAAAATTTATTTAAAATCTTTGTTGTCTCTACAATTTTCTGTGGCATTTCGGTATATGTCTTATATATATGTCACAGCATATCTGTCTTTGTGTATTGTCAGCAGTTTTCTGGCATTGATCTTTTTTTTAATCTTGCCCTGTGAGCTTACTGCTATGTGGCCGCACATTTCATCCATATTTTTGCATTCCTTTCTGCATCTCTTGTCCCTGATATCTACTTCTGTGAAGATTCAGAAGGCTCAGATGAGAACTGTGGGAGACAGAATATGTTAGTGCTCATCAAATGCTGAATAAGGAAATGATCGTTTAATCTTACCTTTTAGATAATTTCTAACAAAGATGCTCTTGTAGAATTGAACCGAGCTTTGCCACTGATCAACAGCTGCATGCTGTTTAATTGGCTGATGACCAAACAAGAAAAAGAAATGAGACTGACAAGGCTTATTCAGCCACTTGCTCTGAGGCACTGAACTGGCAACTCTTTCTGGGTGCACTTACTGTCAGTAGATAGATGCACATTCTTCCTGTGAATTGGGCTATGCCTTCATTACTGATTACTGTACTAGACTTGCAGAGCAACCTTTTTAGCACTGAGGACTTCACAGACACAGAGACATTTTGGAGGACTTTTCTTTGGATTAGTTGGTCTACTAACATTGTCCGTACACAGGTTGAGATGCATACTTGAGTTAAATTCATTTGTAAGCAATTCGATCTGTGCACTCCAAGACTGCTCCATGATGTTATTCAAAGCACAGAACTGGGAGGTTTGCTTCAGGAGCACATGTTGGATTTGGGCTGAAATGTGAATGCTGAGGTATTTTCAGATCACTGGCTCCTTTCTGGGGTCATATCTTTCTCCTTTGACTATTTTTAGATAGGAAAAATATAGGTGGACAAGGCATCTGAAGTTGGGCAGTATGAGCATCTACCCAGAACAGAACCTTTCCTTTCAATCTCCAGTTTCTTCCTCAAAATACAAACAACCAGAGCAGTAACATATAGGAGTGGCTAGGAAAATCTATTTCTCTACTTCCTTGGCAATGTTTAGGGTCAACTTCTTTTCTTATCCTTTTTTTTGGTATGTATTTTCAAAAGTAAAATATTAACACTGTCTCCTCCATTAAAGACTACATAGATTAAGCAGTGCTTTTCAGAAAGTCATCATGAGGTTAATTCAAGTGATCAGTTTGTTATCACTATTATTATCCTCCGCCTAGAAATGAAAAAAGACTCTAATAGGCTATCAATGCTAACTCCTGTACCAAACAGCCTTCTTCGCTTGCTGAGGAAACATCAAGAGGTATTCTGATTGTGCCTGAAATGCAGGATTGTACCCATAGATGCACAAAAGATCTGCACAAAAACAAAATGTTGTTTGAATTAAATTGCTACAGTATTTTTCAGGAAATCAACTGGAACTGCAGCCCACTTTAATAGGAGTAGTGGTGACCGGTCCCTGTTGCAGCTTTACCTATCAGTCAAGGGTTAGATTATTGACCCGAAAGCTGAGCAAAGTCGGATAGAAGATGACTGCACTGGAGAGAGTCTGGAAATCCTGATTTCCGTGTTTTAAACAATTGATTCAAGTCTCTAGACTATTATACAGAAGTCTGATGCTTCCTCCAGCTGTACTTTTGGATGAAATTGCCTGTGACTGCTGCACTTGGTGATGAAATAAATGCTGTCCATGTGCGTTAGAGGTGCTCACAGAGCACTGACTGAACTGCCTTCCCAAAGGAGCTGACACAGAAATGCCTTGTTTGTAAATCATAAATACTCGTAGGGGGAAGAGAGCCACAGAGATTCTTAGCTCAGCCAAGGTGGTGATGCTGCAGGGAGTATGCAACACATTTTGGAAACCAAATTAAGTTTTCACTTTAAAAAAAAAGGTACCCATACTTATAGAGATGTCCAAGTAAGATTTATATGAATGATTCCAATGAATTTAGCTACTTAAAAGTCCAATTACAGTGCATTTCATATGCCCAAAGTCTTTTTTTTTTTTAATTGCTCTTTGAGAGCAATTAGGTAAAATTCAGGTTAGTCCAGCCCACTTCTGTGCAAAGTACTCTTTTAATTAATCTCCCTATAAAACATATGTTTCAAGCAATCAAATTAATTATTTCTGTGTATTCTGAGTATTTCTGTAATCTATGACTTTTCTTTGTATTAAAAAAACTAGCAGTTTCCTAACAGTTTATATTTCTTTTTCTAATGTAAAATAGATGAAACCTAACAAAAACAGGGTAACAACTAGGGCTAGATTTCTGAAGGCATTTAAAAATCTTCTGATGCAAAAGGTACCTAGTCGGGTAACCAGTTTGTCTTCCATTTATGTTACTAGTTTATGCAAGCTCATTTATATCACTTGTACTTAGCTGCCTGGAGGCTTTACTAAATTTTCTTCTAGGCCCAACTCGCTTAAATAGTTTGGCCATTATTGATACAGCTACTGGTATGCTTACTTGACTGAAAAAACGACAAGGGGAGATTCAGGAGAATATGCATATTTTCTCCGTTTCCTCAGTAAAAAGACATATTTTAGGTGAAATCAAATATAAATAAAATTTGTGTTAGCTGGCTTTTCTAAGTGTAACAGAATACGTCTGAGAGGTGACAATTCAATGTTGTTATAAAATTAGGGTGAATTAACTCTACCGAAAGATAAAAACATTTTTCCTCTATTAAGATATGATTTATTTGAATAAATTAGAGCACAATATTGCTGTAAAGCACTAGTTCCTTCTGTCTTTAATGGTATATGACTAACTTCAAACCATTCTTTTGTTTTTCTATTACTAACTCAATGAACTCATTGCCACGCAGCAAACATATTTATTACGCTGTGCAAAGGTTGCAGCCAACAGAGATTTGTTACGTGCAAAGTCCAGGTATCTGGGATCTTTGGAATAAAAGCAGGGTATTTCTTGTTGCTTCTTTATAATCCAAATGGGTTCAGATAAAACAGCTTCTTTATAACTTCACTGATAAGAACTGGGATAAACAGGAGGTACAGGCAGACACTGGTTTCAGGCTTGAGTTCGTTCATTTACTGACGCTAGTTTTAACCTACCTGCACAACACTGATAAACAGTGGAAGAGTCAGCACTGTTGATAAGGCTCCTGCTCCCTGCACAAATACGGCACAGGTCTTGCAGTTGAAGAAATCACAAGGATACTTATCAAAAGACATCTTTGGCTAAGGACCTGCTATCCTGTACTTCCATCTACATAGTCTAACCTATCCAAGTTCTCCCAAATCAATGTGTTAAATGACACACAGAAAATAGCAAGAAATAATTAGTGATGCAGCATCTTCCATGAAAATGTATCTCAACCTTAAATACCTAGCAGAGGTTCACTGTTGCATCACTAGTTAGAGATCCTAGGTACTCCTATCATTTCTCCATTGGGTAATTACCTTAATAAAAGGAAAAAAAAATACAGAGATGGAATATAAAAATTAGCTGGAAAGACTGTGCTCAATATTTCTGCTCCACTCCCAGTTCTCTTTCACTACACACAGAGAGGCACAGGGCACATTTCCTTTTACGTTAGGTGGGAAGGAAATAAATAGACAAAAGTGACAAACAGACAGAACTGCCTCACCCTACCAAAGCCCTGGGCACTGAATCACTGCTGGAAAGGGCTGAGGGCCAATTACTACCTCTTTAAGACATGATGAACTATTACTCATAATGTCTACAGGGAGATGACGGTTAATAAGTGGTCCCTGAAACACTTAAAATCCTAGGGAAAATACACTCTGAGTATATTAAACTGGATATTTTAATTAAAAACAATGCTGTTAGTTGTCCTGGGGTTACTGTAACTTAGCGTGAGCAGGTTATTTTCAAGACTAAACTCCATGTGTTTGTTCTGAAAGGAACATTTCAATACATATATATTTTTGTGTAACATTACAAGAATTTAAAAGCAATAGACAGGGACAGCTGAAGATTTTTTTATTCAGAAGTTCTATCTTTCATATTTTGAGTACCCAAATACAACTTCCTTGATCTTATATTTGATATGAATTTAGATGAAATTTTATGAAAGTTGTGCCATTTTCTTTAGATTTCCTTCCTATTTTGAAGAATTCTGTGGTATATTTTTGCAGTCTATACTGACCTTTTAATATTCTTTTATGCCAATTCTCCCACAGAAATCTTCAGTTACAGGATTTTGACAATTCTAAGTAGATATCTCACCTCCCTTCATTCTTGGTTTCAGACAGTAAAAAATTCTAGCCTACATCTCCTGTACAAAAAAAAGTCTCGAAATTATGGCAGGTGAGCATTGAATGGCTATCCCCTTCACTGATTAGATCACAGAATCATAGCCTGTAGTAGGTTGATGCTGTGATTTTTTCCTCCTTGTATTTAACTGGAATTTCCTTTGCTGCAGGTTTTTTTTTTCAGCTCTTTATTGTGCATTGTGTGAGAAAAGGGTGGCTCCATTTTCTCCAAAATCTACCTAGAAGAACTCCCTAGAAGGGAGTTGAAGAAGACAGTAAAATCACCCTATATTCTTCTCAAAGCTAGAAAAAAAACAGCTCTTAATAAATCACTTAAAACACCATGTGTTCCAGACTCCTAGCCATGTGGTGGTTTCCCCATGGACTCTCCAATTTACCAGTGTATTTTTTTTCTACTTTGGACACAGTACTCCTGCTTTAATACACCTTACAATCTACCTACCCAGTATACACCACCCCTGTTTGACTTCAAGATGCTACAGGACACTCTTTCAAAAGTCTTGCTACAGTGTATATATATATATTAAAAAAAAAAAAAAAAAAAAAAAAAAAAAGCTACCTGTTAACACAACACCAGCTTTCTTCAAGTCCTCAGGAAGTGACTGAGGGCTTACTAAATTCACCATACAGGGGCCTCGTTAGACAGCTTTTACAAAACATTTGCATGAAAGTTATCCCTATCTGCCTATTGTAAAGTATTATTAGTTCTATAGTCCAACAATTAATATCTTCTTTGGCTGCTATTGGAGTGGAAGGTATTTCAGCAGGACCATATTAAATGATAAATATGTCCTTTCCTGAAGTGAAAATAAAAATATTAGGATACTTTCACTTACCATGCATTAATAGCATGATAATGTTAGCAGGAATGTATTTATTCATACTGGGAGAAATCCTCTAGTTTATGATACAGTTAAAATATTTTGTGTTGTCTTTGTACCTTCAAAATATGGCATTCTCCTTACATTCTTTTCCTGCTTTCTTCTTCATCTTTCATAGTCTTCTCTTCCTAACTTCTCAGTTATAGCTACTGTTTTCACTGTTTGTTTTCACCGTCTTTTTTCCTGTTGTATTGTCAAACTGCATGACTTTTGGATTGTGATTTTCTAGATCCTAGTCTTTCATTCAAACTTTTTCTGTTACTACCTCTATTTTGCCATTTAAATTTAAAATTAACCAGGTCATGATCATCTCTGAAATTTCACATATTTATGAGGCTGCTTAAATACTGGCAAAAATATTTCTTCAGGATTTTGTTCATACTGAATGCTTCATAAAAGTGCTGCTTGCCTTCTTTTTCCTGAATGACCCAAAACAGAGGAATAGTTGGATAACTCTTTTTTTCCACTGAAAGTAGAAGCCTCAGAGTAAGCAGGCTGGATGAGCTACTTCTTTGAGATGGGTGAAGTCACCCCTTTCCAATCAGGTAACAGGCATGTAGTTAGTCCCGTGATGAAAAATGAAGGTGAAGAGAAGAAATGCTGTCATCAGAACAGCACATACAGCCTCCAACTTGTTTTTATTCATGTTCTGAATTAAGCTCATGCATAGTGACTACCTTGCCATTCTCCTTTTCTGGTACAGACAACAGAGGGTTCGGCAATGATACTGTGCCTATGCTATCAATTCAAGGTGCAGTGCAAGGAATCATGAAAATTCAAATATTTCTGAGAGGTACTGGACCTGCACAGTCTTTTCACGTTTGCAGTATCTCGAGGCATGTGACAGAAAAGGGACAACAGCAGATAGTGGGACACCAGGGACAGAACTGTGGTGCACATGGCCATCACATTTGGGCACTACAGAATCAGAACAGCCTTTCAAAAGCATTCAGGGTCATTCACTACAGAGGTGTTGGCAGCAGAGAGCTTCATGCTCTTTATAAGCAGTTATACCTCTTCTTTTCCCTGAAGCTTTTCATCTTCAAAAACACCTGCTAATTTTAACATTCTCAGAACATTTCAGTAATATTAACTGATTATTTTTATGACTTTTATGATTATTTTTATAGGGTCAAAATATCTGATAATAGTAGGATGAAGTGCATGAATAAGGAATACCCACATAAGAAAAATGTAATAATATTAACAAAGCCATCCTTAAGGGCAAAGTCTATGCTTTTTTTGTTTCATTACATCCAATACAATAACGTATATATACTATAATGTAATGACAGAAAGTTATTTAGTAGATTCAGACTTGAGACAGCCTTCTCAATTGATACAGAACAGTATATATATTTCTGACCCAGAAAAATACACATCAGTGGTTACTTAACTCTAATTGCATTATAATACTGGATGATCAAAAGCAACACAGCAACTGTGAAGAATGCTTTACAGAATAAAATTAGGTTTTACAGTAAGTAATACAAAGTTACATACTATGACTATTGTGTTTTTGTGTCTTTGGGAGTACCAGGAATAGGTAACCAATTTGTTGTCTTCAATAACTTAGCGAGATTATGATGAGGAACATTATTTGAAATAACTATGTTAGCATAATAGAGCGTGATCACACCTACTTTATCATTTAAATTAGTTTATTTGAGTGGTATTTTAAGAAAATGTTCATTCACAGAAATGTGTGAACAACCTAATTTTATTCTCAGTTATCTCTTTTACATGACTGTGCTTATGGACAGCTATTCTGTACATTTTTGAACATGTACATGTCTTTAAGAATTAACAGAGATAAAGAAATAAATCAGCATATTTATTTACAACTGTTACAGTATAGTTGTTTACCAAATTCAAGGCACATTCTCCCAAGCTTTATTGTGCTGTTTTATAACTTGAACAATTCTCAATTATTCTGCTTTATTGCTTGATCAGGCATACATTTTTATCTTTAATGATTCACACCCTGAAATCAGCATGACTCTGACTTATACTGCTCCCAAAGCAAATTTCATGTGGGAACATTCACCTACACCAGCATCATTACCCTTTGCCCTATTTTCTGTAGACTTTTCATGAAGTTTGTTTGCAAAATAAAATGCATAATGATTTTTTTTTCTTCCAAATTATCAATTCATCCTTACCTAGCAGGTTCGTTTGTACAGACCCTTTTCTCAAGTAACTGTTTCATCAGGCATTAAATCAGTCTTGAAATCTGGCATCAGTCCATCTGGGTAAACAGACTTAATTAACATACATTAAGTTTCACCGTATCCTACGGGATAAAAAATAAATAATCAAATAAGTCCATATTTCAAAAGCAACCAGAAATTTCTCATATTGAGGCTCTACCAGAGCTCATATATTTAGAGATGTCGATTATCAAATCTCTTTTTGCAGAGACAAAAAAAAAAATGTAAAGCTGGATGTTCATCTCCAGAAGATTGCTTTCGGTTTCATATAAAATGTTGATTACCATTGTGCATGTACTAAAACTAGGGGTTATCTCCACAGGACATTTTCCTATCCAGGATGAAAACAAAGCTTTCAAGACAAACTTTCAACTCAGTTCATTAAGGTAGAAGTCTTTTGAGATGAATGAATCCTAGAGAAGCACTGGTACCAAAGCACTGTGCCCAAGCCCTGCTCCTCAAAATTCCTATTTATGAATAAATTCCAAGTATAATTAGGACTTTTCAATAATTAAAAACTGTAAAATGAAAGGAACCGCACCTTGAACAGGCTGTCTCCACATCTGAGCTCTGGAAGGTTTTCATGGGAAGGTTTTTACAGGGAATATAATGAAGTAAATAAATGTTAAGACTGATGTGGCAACAGTAAATTAATAGTGAATATTAGTAATACTATTTACTAATAGTAAATAATAGTCTGCTTCAAAAGAATTGAGGAAAAAATATGGGCATTATACCAGGAAGACAATTTGAAATCTACAAGACAAAACAGAAAGGATTTATTTGCCTAAGAGGTAAAACTAAAAAGGTTGCACAGATCCCAAATTCATTAAATAATGAAATTTTATGCAGCTTCAACGTCTGTATTAGTGTGTTACATATATTTTGGACTTGCTACCTCCAAGCTTCAGTGACTGTATAAAAATGAAAGAGAAAGGCAGATCAGGACAGACTTTCGAATGACAAAATTAGCTAAAATTAGCCCATAGCTAGTGTAATAGAAACGCCAATTGGCCTTCATAAAAAATTTACAACTTATACAAAACTCCTAATAAAACAAATTTTCCTTTATTCAGCACAAAATTTTTGCTATCTCTTGCAGGTCTTAATTAAGATTAGGATTATGAAGAAAAAGAAGTTTCTTTTCTTACAGGCACTTGGTTTAGCTTTGGATGTTCTAATAAAAACAAATATGTATTTTTTTGCAGTTTTTTTCCCCCAAAATGCTGAAATTTTTAACTTCAGAAAAACACAGTATTTTAATATAATACTTTTCACTACAGGTAAAAAACAAAAAACAAACAAACAAAAAAATAAAACAAAACACCACCACTGATTCCACACATGATCTTGGAACTCCAGGAATTTAATACTTAGTTTGACTTTCAGTCTAGCTATTTAGTGGGAATTCATAGCAGCTGTTCTCTCGTGTATGCTGCCACTGAAATTTAAGGTGTGACTGCAATGAAGAATGATTTAAATGAACACCAAATACACTGCCTGGATACTGTGGATGTCAGAGCAGGTTAGCAGCTGGTATAGGCCAACAGTCCTCCAAGCAATTGTACAACCCATGGTTAAGCCTGTGCAATCCTATCTTCTGCCTTGTTTACCCATGCTAAGCTTGTATATTTATAGAGTTGCTCCTCATATTTTTAATTTGCTGGCTATATATTCCCAAATCTCCAACCACTTCATATTTTGTCAATTGGCGAAAAAAGGAGAAATACAGTTAAAAGGGCAAGAAATATATTTTACTGTTACAAAAGATTCCTGGTAAGACTCTTCAGAGATAATGAGTGTTGTGTAATTCTTAGGGGAACAAATGATAAGAATTATTCAAAGTAAACACGTTAGAGTTCAGATCAACAGGTAATGCTCAACTTCAGACCACCCTGACCCATTCATCTGAAAGATCACCCTGACACAGAATACATGAAAGAAAAAGACTCGTCCCAGGAACCACTATGACCGTTTGACTGTGACCACCCTGTGCTCCTCCTACCTTTTCCAGTTGCCTCTGCATTCTCCTATATAATCTAGCAAATTGCAGCAACTACATTTCAATTAAGATATAAATCAGTTTTGTTTGGACAAGAGGGAATTTGCTTTCTCTACTGTGGATGTGCCCGCTGCATAGATTGAGTAACTTCTATTTTTAACAACCCTTCTTTCACATTAGTCAGGGCAGTGACAGTGTAACTTATTTTCCAATGAAATGCCTAGATAAGTTACTGTGTACCCTGCTCAACAAAGTCAGGTCTTTATGAGACAACACAAAAAGGCTATGTTTGTTCTGAAAAAATAAACAGCATCTGGGACTCTCCTCGGAGACCAATTGGTATAATCTGGTTTCACCCTTATTATTAATTCCTTACTTTCTAACAGGGTGACTTTATCCAAACTATCTATTGGAAATGGTCCCTGACCTAGGTTGTAATCATGCTCAGGAAATTTTGGAATAGCATTTGTTGGCTCAGGTCAAAACCATGCTAAAGATTAGTCAAATAATCCAATACCACAAATGATTGATATCTATGCGCTGGCACCGTTTTATTTACTTTTACAAAGCCAGCATGACTCTACCAAACTGCTCCCTTTTTGCTCATATCTTGACTTTACACTGTCAGACCAGCTGGACCCTACTGAAGCTAATTCAGGAGACAGTTTTCCTCTTTATACTTAAAATATGTACAAATGCCAGAACAAACTATTTAAATGTAGACTTGAGAGACAACTTTGCAATATTTCAAATATGGAAAGCGTAATGAAGTCTCTTGCCTTTTTTGTTTGTTTGCTTCTAATTAACAAAAATTGAGCATGAATTAATCTTCAATTTATGAAGAATGGTAGGAGTCATCAAAATTGTGACTTCTGGATTGGAAAATCTACTTGGAATTAAAGAAGTTACTTCACAACTGCTAACATTTGCTTCAGCTCAGTCTATAGAAGGAGCATTATATGCTCAACTTCATCTTTTGTATTTAAGTAAAAGCATTTACTGTGCAACTCACAAGAACTGTCTGAAGCTTGAACTAGCTTCCGGCAAAGTCAAACATGTAGCAGTGTTTGGGAAGTAATATATTCAAGAAAGATGCAAGATTGTAGTACTTACCTATGAATAAATATCTTCCATTCTCATAAAATAGAAAATAAAAAAAAAATTATTAAAGTTTACATGCAGACATTGCAAAGATTATCTTCATCCTCAGAAAGTGTCATGGCAGTTATAAAAGATAATTTCAAGAAAGTTGAGAATCTCCAACTGTAATAAACATAGTTTAAGCTGCTTTGTCTTAAAAAAAAAAGCATCATTTCTAAACTATGTATCAATTTACAAACACATTGGCCAACTGAACAATCTCAAGCAGTTTTCATGAACTGGGAGTACTCAGAATAGTTAAAAGTATATTGCAATCAAACCTAACAGACAAAAAGCTAGACTGTAAAGAGAACTACCAGATATTTTCTCACTGATGTATATAGGCAGTTTAATAACACTCATCCTAGGCTAGAGTTAAAAAAGCAGGAGCCTTCCTTAAATAAAAAAGAATTACAACTATACATTCAATTTATACATTTTTATTTGTTGTATTAAAAATAATAAGGAAATATCCAGTAGGTTAAAGGTATTTCATTTTTTTGCCACCACACTTTGTATCTGAAACACCTTCCAAATGCAGCAGAATTGAGGGGGAAAAAAAAATAAACCCGAAATCCTACAATGAAGACTGCAGACTAAGGACTAAGTCACATGTAAGATGGCTGTTGAATGGACCAAACTTGACTGACCACGAGATCCCTTTTTATTACAACCTCCTATTTTAAAAAGCATTCAGGTTTCACACTACATTATCATCATTGTATTTTTCTTCACGGAAGAAGACAACTAATGTCTGTAATGTATTAGTGTATGAACATATTTTATAAGTAAGGTTTCGTTTATGGATCTAATGTTTGACACTGTTGATGCAGCTGCAGCAAGCTTAGTAGGTCAACACCATCTATGATCAAAAAACATCAACAGTATCTAAACGCTGCTCTCAGCTCTCTCCTAGAAGTGCAGTACATTCGTGACACAAACTCTCATCAGTGAAGTACAAGAACTATACAATGAATTTCACTTGTTGGCATATATGGATTGTACTTCGGAACACAAACCGGCCCTTGGAAATGTGCTTATTTCAAAGACTATTAACTGTCTAAATATTTGGAATCTATTCTAAACATAGAAGCCAAACACTTTTTTAACAATATCCAGTAATGCCTTATTATTTCTTAGTAGAGAACATTCCTTCTTACCTTATAAAGAAATCTATATACAGAGAAAGCATTTAAAGGAATTTACATAGAAATCCATATGGTAATGTTTGGAACTTTGTTGATTCAGCAGTTTTAGCCACTCGTACAGATGTAGCTATTTGGAAACCAAGGTATAATACTCAGGTAAAACCCCAGCACATCCATGAGGAGCATAACAGCAAGAGGGTTTACACCAACGCAGTTCAGAGCTACTAAAACTCAAAGCCTGAATGTGTTTCACATGGTTTCAATTGCAAGTAAAGTAAAATTGCAAGTAAAAGTAAAGTATATGGAGCAGAAATCTCCACCTGCCCAAAAATACCACTTTACATGACAGAGATGGGAAAACTTAGAGTAGACTGAATGCTGGGAAGAGAGCTTAGCACAAAGTCTGGACTAAGAGGTGCGACTTACATAATTTCCTGAATATAGCCAAGCTCTGGGTCAAATGGGAGTGAATTTCAAACAACAACAAAAGAAATGTCATGCTACTGAGTACATTCTATCTTCCAGTTGCTTTACCCTCATATTGGATGCTTACAAGCCCTGATTTTACAATCAAATTCACAGATTCAGTGAGATCCAGTTGAGTAAATTTGGTGAGACTGTAAAAGGCATACGGATTCACTTGTGCAAATTTGTGCAATTGGATCCTTAAAGTGAAAATTACCAATCTATCATTTTTTGCTCCAGCCAAAAATCAATCCACAGCACAAATAATAAAAAGTCCATCAGATTCTGAAAATCTTTCTGTTTTTCACTTTCCACACAGTATTAGTAACACATGTAAGACTATTTTTTTCCTTAAATATGTAGAGTGAAATCCTGGCCCCCGTGAAGTCAATGGAAGTTTTGCCATTGACTTCAATGAGGACAGAATTTTCC